TTAATTTATTAAATTTCAAACGTTTCGAAAATTCTTTACATCAAATTTATAATTGTTTAAAAAAAAAAAAAAAAAAATCTGAAATACAAAATTTTACATTGACTCTTTCTTAAAACATATTGAAAATAATATTTTGATAATTAAGTTATTTTTTCAGTTTACATTAATTTAATTTATATTTTATATTAAATTGTTTTCTAAGATAATTATAAATAATATTAAAAACCAAAAAAAAAAAAACTTTATTAAACCTGACATGTACAATTATGTGTGTGTGTGTGTGTGGAAAGAGGTTGTTCCACTGTTAAACTAAAGATAATTAATATTTTTCTTATGATATTTAGTTGACTTTTAGAAATTGTGAATAAAAGATGTCAGTTTTCATGTACTATTTAAAAGTGTTTGCAAGTTAATCATACAAATGAAAATTGTATAGGTAAAGAATAAAAGTACAAGTGTTTAAAAAGTTTTTTTTTTTTTTAATCATTAGTTTTTACTAGGTATGTACGTAATGAGACTGATTAATGATAAAACTTATTACAATTATTCTTAAATTAATTAATTTTTTTTTTCTGTGTGTGCATGTAATTTATAAATTTATTTAAAGTTCTTTTCTCTCTTTCTTTTTTTATTTAATATATAAAACATTAGAGTAGTTAATGGCGTCGTTTAGGTTCATACCTTGAAGTAACAAAAAAAAAAAAAAACAAAAAACTTGGTCGATGACGTCATCCTTTGATTTTTACATCATATGTTTCCCTTTTATTTTAAACTAAAAATGAATAAACATTAAATTTTTTTTTTAGTAAATATACATTACATCATTTTTAATATTAATTTTACACATTTTATTAAATAAATAAATAATTGTGTTAAAACGATTCTTCTTACTTATTATAATTGTAAATTTTAAAAAAAAAAAAAAAATTCTATTTCTTATTTAATACAAAAAATTATATATATATATTAAAGTAATTATTATCATGGATTAAATAATTGGCAATTATTTACAAAATGAATTATCTAAAATGCAAATTTTTGAATTTAAAAAAAAAAAAAAAAAAAAAAAAACTTCATTTATTTGAAGAATGTGGGAGAGTCACTTGTTATTTAGTTAAATATTAATAAACTTGTGTAGTCTTTACATATGCAAAACAGGTTTTTTTTTTTTTTTCATATTCAACTCATCTATTATTATTATTATTATTGCTACTGCTCAATATGTTTTTAAACAAGGTACAAAGAGTTTGATGATAAAGTGTAGTTTAAAATAAGTTTTATATTAGTCACTAATTATTATTGATAAGTGCCTGTAAATGTTATTTTGCATTTAAAATTAATTTAAATTACGTTTTTGTGTTATTTACTGTTGATATTTTAAAAGTTTTTTTGTTAAAGACCAATCAATAATTTTACATTTTATAACAAAAAAAAAAAAAAAAAAAAGAGAAACAATTTAAAATTTAAGTAAAAAATTAACAAATAAGGTAAAAAAAAAAAATGAAAGGAAGTGAAGATAGAATGACGTCATAGGTAGGTAATTTGCAAGTTATAATTTTTTCGATGACCGGAAATCGCAAAAAAACTATCAATTAGATGTTTTTGTTCCAAACCAAAAAGTATATTTTATTTAAAAAAAAAAAAAAAATTTATTTCTTCAACAGAAAATTTCTGTTAAATTGAATTAACGATAGCCAAAAAAATTTTTGTGGTTTAATTTCAGGTGATGTTTTATTAAAAAAAAAAAACGTCGAGAAAAAGAATAAATTAAAAATTTAAATTTTTTTTTTTAAAATTTCATCGAAATGTTATTTCATACGTTTATGATAAAAATATGGTTTGTTTACTTTTTTACCGCCAAAAAAACGGTCACTGGAATTTCGAGGGAAATGACCGATTGTTATGCTAATAATATGAATCCATATTTAAAATTTGGCACTAAAACAGCTTATGAATTTGTTTATGAAAGACCCAGATTAAGAGATCAAAAAATATTAGGTAAGTATAATAATAATAATAATAATAATAATAATAATAATAATAATAATAATAATAATAATAATAATAATAATCATTCAATTAAATTATTTAACAATTAACGAACAAAATAATAAATTGATAGAACAAAATAAATTGTTTAAATTTAATTTAATTTAACTATAACAAAGGGGGGGGGGAAAAAAATTTAACGTTTTAAGTAAATATTATTATTATTATTATTATTATTATTATTATTATTATTATTATTATTATTATTTTTAAATTAATTATTTGTTTATTATATATAAATAATTACATTTAATTTAAGGTTTGTTAATTAAAAAAAATCAATTTTTTCATCATCATCATCATCATCATTATTTCAGAAAATTAAAAAAATTTAGCATAAAAATGAAGAATTACAGATTTAAACAGAGTTTCATTCATTCATTCATTCATTCTCTCGTTTCCCTTTAGGGAATGAATCATATTAAAATAGTAAATTTTAAATAATAATAAAAAAATCTGATCTTTATCCATTAAATAAAAAAATTATTTTGAATTAAAGTCCCATTTTTTTTCCCTTTCATTTAAACAGTTTTTTTACACAGTAACAAGATAATACAATTATTAGTAGGATAAAAATTTTATCCATTTTAGTTAAAATTTATTAAGGATAAAACAAAAAATTTTTTTTTTTTTTTTTTTTTAAATTTAGTATGACCTAAAAAAAAAAAAAAGAAAAATTTTTTTAAATTCAATTTCTGTTATTATACTTCATTCATTCTAACTTTATTACTATTTTTTTTTTGGATTTAATGTTCATGAGAAAAACATTTCCTTTTGTTTTATTTTTTTAAAAATATAATTATTATTATTATTATCAGTAATTATTAAGATTAAGATGATTATTGTAAATTTTATTACAAGTAATAAATTAATAATAATAATAATGATACAATTAAAATTGTTTTTTGTTGATAAAAAAAAAAACAGATTGTGAACCAGTTCAAATATGGATGCTTGCAAGACATGGTACCAGATATCCTGGGAGAAAAAGCATTCGGGAATTATCACAATTGCAACATTTAAAAGTTGAAATTATACGAAATCATGAAGAACTTAAAAGTACTGTCGATTACGTTAAATAAATTATTTTAAATTATTATTATTATTATTATTTTTATTTTATTTAAAAAAAAAAATTTCCAGATGGAAGATTGTGTTACGCGGATATCAACACGTTAAAAAGTTGGTCGTTCAATGTTAAAATGTCGGATGCTAATTTATTAACCAAACAAGGATATTCTGATTTGTATTTTCTGGCAAAAAGATTAAAGACTAAATATCAATCTTTTTTTCAAAAAGGATACAGTCCAAATCTTTTTCGGGTAAATCATTTACTCATTTTAAATTATGTAAATTCCTTCAATAAGAAAGTTTTTGGTTCAATAGTTTAGGCACACGGATTCTGAAAGGACTAGGCAAAGCGCACAAGCTTTTGCCGAAGGGTTATTTGAACCTAATCAAGGTGTCTGGATACCACCTGCCGTTGTAAACGATACCATCATAAAACCTTATGAAAATTGCACGCATTGGATTAAACAAGTTAAAGATAATCCGATGAATCAAAAAGAAACGGAATTGTTTAAATTAACCGAAGATATGCAAACTTTGGTACATAACGTTAGTTCGAGATTAGGATTTTTATACGATTTATCCGTTGGTAAATATCAGACGGAATAAATTTAATAAATTTTTTTTCTTTTTTTTTTTTTACAATAACAATCAAATAACGATCGAATTAAATTTTCTAGACACAATTGAAACAATCTATGATATGTGCAGGTTTGATAAATCATGGAATTTAAATGATCGTTCACCATGGTGTGCTGCTTTTACAAGAAGCGAATTGCGTACTTTGGAATATTTGGAAGATATACAAGCTTATTACGATTCAGGATATGGAGACGATTTGAATTTACGTTTGGGATGCACAACTGTAAAAGATATGCTTGAAGGATTCAGGTAAAAATTTTTTTAAAGGCATTTCCCGGTAACGAAAAATCTCACAATGATTTCTCGGTTGTTCCTTATTCAGGCATTTAGAAGATGAAACCTTGCAGCAGGATCAAGAACCCATGGGTAAATTTTATTTTTCCCACGCTTCTGTTCTTTTAATGACATTGGCAAGATTGGGTATCGCAAATCACGGTATCCCTCTACGACACGATAATTTTCAAGAGCAAAAAAATCGAGATTGGAAAACGTCTGAACTGAGTCCATTTGCTGCTAACCTGATAGCAGTCTTTTACAAGCAAGTTTTAGAATTATGCTTCGATACCTGTTTGTTTTACTACTACCTATTTTTATAATAAATAAAAATATGTTTTCACTTACAGGTGTACAACTGGAGAGTACAATAGAGTCATGTTTTTCGTTAACGAAAGAAGAATCGATTATGAAGGATGCGACGTAGGTTTATGTTCCTGGTCGTACATAAGAGACAAATTCGATGATGTATTCGAATCTTGCAATTTGGAATGGTGTAAAAGTCGAGGAGGTTCTTTTATTTATTTTCAAAATTCCATATTTTATTGGATTTTGTGTCAGATTATTATTTTGGTATTTAAATCATCTGTAAAAATTTTTAATAGTTAACAATTATTTAAAACTCTACGCTGTATCCTTTTTAATAAAAAAAAAAAACTTTAGTTTAAAATATAGAAAAATAAAATATTTAAAAAAAAAAATAAATAAAATTGCGTGATTTAAATAAATTAATTAAAAAATTAAATAAAATATTGAAATGCGTTGACAAATTACGCTTTAATGCAACAAATTTAAATAAATCATTTGCTTTGCTTTATTTTTTCACGTTTTAAATTTAAAATAAAATAATAAAACATTAGGAAATTTATGTAGTTTTTACTTTTATATCAAAAATTTTTATTACTTTTTGCTTTTAAAAAAAAACTGTAATAAAAATTAAATTTATCGAAATAATAATAACGCGGTGAAAAAAAATATTGTTAAAATTTTTAACTTTTTTTTTTTTTTTTTTTTTCAATAAAGAAAAAAATTTACGCTCGTTACAAAAAAAAAAAAAAAAAAAAACTTTATTTACTCTTTGAATTAAATACAAAATC